CTGCAACATCACAATTAATTTTTTTTGAAAAAGTACCCAATAACCTAGTTCAAATGTAAGGGTTAATTACAAAACTAAGTACTATGACAACAATTGTTATACTTTTTAAACTTCTCTCTTTACTCCCACTGTAAAAATGAGAACTAATCTTCCTAATTTATTGCCATTTAGTAAGCAAGCCACATTCTAATCCATGGTTTGAATTAAATACAGATGGATAACAACAGTTTTCCGAATTCCAAACTTTAAAAAAGTTATTCATATAAAAAGAAAAAAACTTAAGATGAAAAGGGGGAAAAGGTCTTCAACGTAGTTTGTTCTGCTTTAGCATCAAGATCTGATTGGGGTACCAACTAAGTCATCTCTTCCTCTCATGCTATATAACATAAAATTGAGTTCACTTATTGCATCAAGCCAAGTGATGCAATTATGGTTTACTGAATGAACCTTAAGTGGCTGCATTTGCACAGAACAGTATTTCATAAATGACAGTTTATCGACTGCACTAAATGGGCTACGAAGGCATGTCAGGGCAAAACTAAACCAACCACTTTATGCTTTTATGCAAAGTAGGAACTGAGATGCATTTACACAGAAGCAGTGTTTTGTAAAAAAAAAAAAAAAAAAAAAAAGTGCCGGAACTCACACACGTCATACAACCTGCCTTGCCTACTCTACAAGGTTCCATCCAAAAAAGGTGCCGGAACTCCGTTCTGGGCATTCTATGACAAAAAAAGCCCTGCATAGAAGCATCAGTTTTTATTATTTATTTACCAAATTTAAATATCACCCATCTCATTCTCCAAGTGACTATGAGAGTATTTATTTCCATTTGTAAGTACAGAAACTTATGCTTGAACATTAGATTAAATGAAAAAGCTATAGGCAATTTAGATGAATTTCTGGGAAATGCCTACTAACAAGTGCCTTTATCATCTAGGAGGCAACCTTGTATAATCTGATTATAATTTGCACAATTCTATAAGCTTTTCAGGTGAATAATAGTGATCTGATAGTGGACAATAAAAAGTGATTCTTTAGAAGCAAAAAGGTGCTAAAGTTGGAAAGTTCAACCTGAAATATTAAACTTTACCATATAGAATTAGAGTCTTATATACATAAAATTGTATTGTATTATATTGCATCATATACATACACAGACTCTTCAGATTACCAAATACAAATAAATTATATTAACTGTATGCAGAATATAATTTATTATGCATACGATTATATAGAAAACCTACACCATTACACAGAAGAGAAATCCTGAGAAGCTGCCCAGGTTTAATCAAGATGGGTTCAAATGGACATTGACCATCTCACTTCACTTGCATTGTCTGGATTGAGAACTATATTTATTTTTAAGACATGAGTGGTTCTGCTTGTGTAAATGGTTCCCAACATAATGGCTGATATACAGAGGAAGAACTAATGCAAACATTAGGGCCAGAAAAATCTTACACTGTAGTTTTTATGATATTCTACAAATTCGATGACATTTTTGGAGAAAATATTTCAAATCAGAATGGACATTTATTGTATTAGAGAAGTTCAACCAGGCTTCCCCCAATTTATGTTGGAAAAAATCCATGGTTTTTTTTAAGCCCATCATTTTATATTGACTTGAACAGAATCACATGTAATCCAAACCTAATAGATTTCTTTGCATATTTTTTGGGTCTGGCACTTGCTTATAATATTCCTCTTGCTTACAGAAATGATATTTTGTATAAATATTTTAATATGCTTCCTTGCTATTTGGTAAATTAAGATTAGTGCTTGAAATGCTTGAATATTGCTAATTTTCTTTTTATTATTGGACAAAAAAAACCCCTATAAGTTGCTGAAAACTGCAGTCATTGCTTATTACCAGTGGTGGGATTCAAATATGTGAACAACTGGTTCTCTGTGTGGATGCCGTTTCTGGAAGTCCATTCTGGGCCTGGGCAACAAAAAATTAGCTACCGGTTTTGCTGAAGTGGTGCGAACTGGCTGAATCCCACCAGTGCTTATTACTGTATAAGTCACCATGTCTTAGAAAAGGGATGCAAAAGTATGTCTGTTTCCTGGGCTGGACTACACCTTCCCTCGTCTGTATTTATTCGCCGTGTTGACTGGAATTAATATGAGATTTAAGTTCAACATTATTTTGGGAGTTCCAAGCTCTTCACCGTGTCCTGGAAGAACTTTCTTATTGTGATAATTCATGAAAAAAAATTGCAGTGAAAAGTAAAACATGCCTTTGAATTTTTTTATCCCAAAGAACTGACCATTGCAAATGGGTTCTGATTAAATGTAAATTATTGCCATTTCTGTACTTCAGAATCCACCTACTTTTGAAAACAGTATTGAAAGATATAGAGGATCAGATATAGGAGATCATTCTGAGTACCCATCGACTCTTCGTTGGAACCAGTTAATGTGCTACAATTCACTAAAGATGGAAAGAATCTGTCTTTCTTGAATTATTTTATATAATGCATTACATTCAGTGGCTTAATACCAGCTACTATTAATTTTCTCATTACAGAGCTTGCTTTTTGGTTTTGAAGGGTGATTAGAGACAGCCTCTCAAATCTAAGATGAGATAGACATGGACTTAAAAAAACCTCTTTGATGTGTATGTATTTAGTAAATGCGTACATATATACAAATACCATACAAAAATATGGTGAAATCCTCTTCTTGGTAAGAATACAAGTTTAAATTTGGGGGGTGTTTTAATAATACAATATAAAATGCATATTTTAAACCATTGGTTCCTATTTTCCTAACCTAATATATCTATTCTTCTATCAGGAATCCTTTAAAGGGTGGAGCCATCTAGGTAAGTGAAAAAACTTCAGAATGAGGAATTATGTATATTTAGCAAACAATACTGCAGAAAATATACAAAATCAAACATTTGTAAAATTCCTTCAAATAGATATTTACAAGATGGTGAAAAACCCTTATCTTATTGCCGTTTGCTCATTCGTTGTTGACTGATTATATGTCATCAAGTTGTTTTTGACTCCTAGCAACCACATAAATGTTTAATTCTATATTCCATAATATTCAATTAAAGTAATATGATATAATATAAATAATGATTAAGGCACCATAGAAGACTATTCAGTTCAAGTTCTACCTTAGGCATGAAAGCCAGCTGGATGACTTTGGTCTAATCAGTCAGACTAACCCACCTCACAGGATTGTTGTTGAGGCGAAAAGTGGAAGGAGTATTTGGTATGCTTGCTACCTTGATTAATTTTTATAAAATATATACTTTACATCATCAAAACAATTGATGAAAAATCTGTTTGTTTTTTTTAAATAGAGGCTTTGGTGTAAAATCCTTAAGATATTTTTTAAAAGGACAGCCCCACAAGTTTAGAGTAAAAGTAAGCTCAGATCATATTAGTGTGATTTCAGTTAAGCTTGCACTGAAAACTGAGGGATGTGGCAAAGACAGTAAAATCTCAGGAGAAACAGAGTTAAGTTTAGGATTCTTTTCTTTATCCAAAGCAGATGAGGAAAAATAACAGGGACTGTTATGGGCACAAATTGCAGATCGTTTAAAAAAAAAATTTGTTAACCTTTCTATGATTCAAATTTGGGTTTTACCACTCAATTGTCCTAAATCTTTTAAAAACGCACATGGCCTAAAGAATTAAAATTAGTGTAGGATAAATCTTCTAGTCCAATTCCTGCAATTAAACAATATATAGTCCTTTCTTCTTCTATCAGCAGGCACTAACTGCATTACACACAAGCTAGGGCAACAAGAAGGCCCTAAACTTGGCATGGTTTCACACAATATTTATTATTCTAGGCTCCACATCACCTAACTTGCAAACTCCAATGACCAACGGTAAACTGCAGCAATGCTAAAACTACACAGTAAGATTCAGGCTTTAATCTTTCTTGACTGATTTGAACTTCTATGCCACTCAATAATGTAAGGGCCTCTGGGACATTATAACCATTCAGAACACACTAACAAAAACCTCAGTCAATTTAAAAACTACATAAAAGACTACGCAAAAGTATATATTAGAAAATACCAGATCCTTGCAGTAGATATGGTAAAAGAAATGATTGTGGCAATGAATACAGCATAAAGTTAAGAACCAAAACAGTTAATTTTGAAAATATCAAAATGATTTATTTAAATGCTTGGAAAAATAAAAGGTTTTTACCTGGAGCCAAAAAAGTCAAAAACGCCAGTAGCATAATGTAGAAATCTGGCAAAGCTTCTGCTGTACAGTATGCTGCAAATCTGATACCTATTATATTTCAAAGCTGAATATTACCACAAAGTGCTTGTTCATTGTTACATCTAACCTTTATAAAACCAAACTGAACTGAACAAATCAAAACATTCTGAGGTTTCATGCAGCCTTTTCAAGTTACTAGAAATTTATAACTAGGTTTCTAACCACCCAATGCACAGGGATAGCTTAATTAATAGTAATCCTGTTTAAACAAGCAATGGTGCACCTATTTAAACAACTAAAAGTATTGTAAAGCCATTAATTTTAAACTATATCCTTGGCTCTTTGATAGTTCAGTTCTAACCTGCTAGTGTTCAAGTTATCTGTGTGTGGGTGTAGTGTGCACATAATATATTAGCCAGATTTCAATAATTTGAAGCTAGGAAGATTGCAGAATTTTTGAAATCCTAATTTATCATCTGGGGCACTATTTATAAAAAGTGATACAGTAGTTTACAGATTTGTTACAAAAAGAATCCCCACTGTATTTATACCACATAACATTAAATTAAGTAACATCTGAGTCAGTAGCAAATATTAAAAACACTTCACTGGATGTAGTCATAGCGTAGCAACAAAAGATGCTCTGAGATTATACTGGATGTATACAATTTTTTCTAGCAGCACAGAGTTGCATTGCAAAATTACATAATGCACCCTGGATTTATTTGTTTACTTATTTATTGTCCCAGCCAGCAAAATGAATATTTAAATTGCCAGGATGCTGGTGTTTCTACTTACTGATGAGTTGGCTGCCAGTGGAGCAGCTGTATTAGAATTTTCTTGCCCACATGGTTGGTTCTTCTCATGAGTTACAAGAATTCTGAAATGCTGCTGCCTTGAGTTTTGATCTGGACGAATTTTAAAAGTGCATCCTTGCCCTGGGGAAATCCGCTCAACTGAATTGCTTCTGGTCATAACGGGGCCACGTTGGTCATGTCCACAATGTGCATCTTCTTCCATGGAGCTAATTCGATCAGCCTGTGGCTGAACTGGATAGGAGGTGCTCCTCTCCAACTGTATCCGTGGATACCTGACCAGCCTGTCTCCTTTTGTTCCTGTAAAACCAAAATTACAACCTGCCCCTGCGCTATTTGACTGAGACTGCTGCAACTGAAGAACAAATAACTTTTTCCCAGAGTTGGCTGACCCATCTGGCAGGTGCTGCAGAGACCAGCGCCTGGGTTCTGAGCAAGAAGCATTATTTGGGGGCTCTGGACCAAATGGCATCAGCGTAACTTGAGGCATATCCGCACTCGAAGCCCGATGCTGAATCCTTACCCCGCTGATATTTAAATCCAGCGCAGATTTGTTTGTGTTGTCCTCTTGACCGCTGGCTTCACCCTTATTATTCCAGTGGTTAGAAGGTATTGTACAAAATATTGTGTGGTTAGAAGATCCTCCGTTGACCTCATGTCCCATGTTCTCAAGTTCTCTCGTTGGAGAATCCTCCGGAGTTACCTGTGAACTGCTTGGAGAAGAATGGCTTCCATCAAGAGAGGTATGCCACTCTCCTAGACCAGAAAAGTGACAGGACTCCTCTGGAGGAGACCCACATTCATCAGCATGTCCATTCACAGCATTGCGCTGAAGGGAAATCTGCATGGATGAGCTCCTCATGGGACGCGCATCAAAGCTGTTCAGAAGCTGTGGGATAAACATGGATGTGCTTCTTTTTAAGGAGCCACCTTCCTGCAGACGGCCGCTGCCATCTTCACAATCGATTCTGTGCCTGGAGAAAGGGTGAGGCCCATTCCTTCTTGGCAAAGTGTGGAATGCCATGAAAAAATCGTCATTATCCTCCCTCTCAGGGTCTAGAATCTCCAGTTCAGGAGCTGTATTGCTTCGCCCTGAGCCAAAATGAAACCGCAACCGATGGGCCATGGTCGCGGGAGAAAGCAGAGGAGAGGGAAGGCAACAAGGCCAGGCACTGCCAGCAGTTAAGAACTAAAGACATAAACTCCAAGAAAAAGTGTCCCATCTGCCAAAGTGTTAGCACTGCTGCACTGATAGCGACAGATAGCAGAAATAGCCCAAGTGGCAAGCGACATTCCATGCGTGATTGGGCAAGACCAATCGGTGCTCCTCCACACTGTGACATCGGGTAGGAGGGCTGGCGTCACATGACCTGTTTTCCCCTCTCCAATACAAGCGACTATTTTTTTCCCCCTCTCTTTAATACCAGCAAGAGCCTGAAACAGCACCTTCCCAGCTGCTCCTTTTCCATCAGAAAGGATCGGTCCCAGCGGGAGATCTCTCACAGCTGACTAAGGCAGCAAACACACTCAGCTCTGCTATAAATCTAAACTGCATCATAATCACAGAACACTTTTGAATTACTGCAAAAAAAGAAAGAAAAGAAATCTAAACTGCATCATATTCACAGAACACTTTTGAATTACTGCAAAGAAAGAAAGAAAAGGAGCAGAGGGGGTGGGAAACCACAGACACAAACTCACACAGAGGAGACTTCCTCTCCCTTCCCCACCCTGTCGAATTGCCCTTGTTATGCTATCAAAATTCTCAAGCTGAGCAGATATTGCTGAAATGATTGGAAGAAGGCATGTGCAGAGAAACACATGCACACAGCCCCCCCCCCAAAAAAACAGAGAATGAACATGTGAGATTTTGTTCATTTAAGCCTCCCAATGTCTTTTGACTACTACAAATAAAGAGTAGGAACTCAGTCTTTCTTCCTTTCCACTGAAAAGTAATTTAAATACTCCTCTTTCTGCCCTAACAACCAACCGAGATATCGGGTTGCTACTGCAAACAAACTGCAATAACCTGCTTCAACCACATTCCAACTTTTACAGGAGAGAAAAGGAAAGAAATTCTTACATGCACAATTCAAGAGGCAACACCATCCATCTTCCTGTTCCTAGATTTTAGAAGCAGGGCAGACGATAAAAGCTGAAGCAGGGGTAAGCATGAAGAACTGTACAGAATTTGACTTAAACTCCATGCTAAACAATGGCAGCCTTCCAGTGAGAAAGTGAGCAGTATTATAAAGGTTGAATTGCCAGCGAGAAAGAGAGCTCTGCTTTGTTAGGAGCCAAGAGGCGTCAGAAGAGCAGACAGATGGACTGGAACCCAAAATTAAACAATGCCCAAACTCGATTCTGCTCTGAGTGGTTGTTTAGAAAGGGGTGGGCAGAAACAGACATCCTACTGTCTCAAAATCTGTGGGCAGCACGAATTAAAAACTGGGTCAGTGAAACTAAAATGTTTATTATGGAGATAAAATAAAACCACTTAAATGTTCTGTATAAATGAGAACCTCACAGCAAAAGCTATAGAAAAAAAAAATCGTGAGAATATCCACCAAGAACGATGTCCTAAATATTTAAGACTTAAGTATTCTTATCATTTACTTCAAGTGAAGAAAGAAAGGGTCTCCAAAGGGGAAAAAACTTTCAATAATTAAAATACCAAAGGTCAGCATAATCCTGTTTTGTTAAACAGGCAAGAAAAAAACAGGACTAATAATAATACTGATCAGATCATCCATCTGCTGCTGTTCTGAATAAAGTCTGAAACCATCTTTAGCATATTTAACACAATTTGAGGACATATTTCCATCTTATTTGATTAATCAACAAACTATGATACTATAACTACCTTTGTAGCCTTTCTCCAAAGGGTTCAGTGGTTATTTTAACCATTTTAAGCACTTCTAAATACAAGTTTGGGACTCCAGAGAGAAGGTACTTTGATAACACATTGATTTATGATGAATACAAACTAGCAAAGAACAGTTTAAATACCCCTTTTGTTTCTCTTTTTACTCCAAACCTTTTGGTATACTCTGAACTGCATCTATAGGCTCCATTATTTACAACATGACGCTTAACCCATATATTTAATTTAAACACATTTTATATTCCTGTTTTCTAACAGTGTAGATATCTGCCATAACTCATAGCCATTTATACTGTTCGTTATAATAAAATCGGAGCAAATTTTCCCAAGGAGGGGAAATGGGATGAAAGTAAATAGATAGATTAAAAAATAAATAATGGTACTTAACATTCATTAGATCATAAATAAAAGGAACATTAAATGCATTTTTAAAGATAGGCCTGGTTCAAATTATAAACTGAAACAGAGACTACATCGGCAAGTATGTTGGACTAAACGCAGTGTTTCTCAACCTTGATCATTTTAAGCCATGTGGACTTCAACTCCCAGAATTCCACAGCCAGCATTGCTGGCTGTGGAATTCTGGGAGTTGAAGTCCACATGCCTTAAAATTGTCAAGGTTGAGAAACACTGGACTAAAGAAATTTAGGAGCTACCACAGAAAAGCCTCTACATTTATTAGCTACTTACTGGAGGAGGGATAAAATTGCGGCTCTTCAGCTGAATGGATTCATATGGAAGCTTGAAAGTCACACCATACTTCAGTGATTATAGAAACCAAGTGCATGGCAAACAGCTCAGGTTAATTGACCCCACGTTGAACAGGTCTCTCATCTTAACACTTTTCAACATCCCCTTCTTGGATCCAAGCCTAGACATATTACTACTTAATTGAATTAGCTTGTTTTCTACATCTCTGCTATATCTGACATCTCCCTTCCAGTAGCAAAAATGAGTTACCACCTTTAAATCCAAGGTTCTGAAGCCACTGAAGGGCTTAATAGCTATTTACTATCTTCTTGTCAATTTGAAAGGAACTATATTTATTAGCCTCTTACTACTAATGCGTATTACATCTCTCCATGTCCCACTTTTAAGAAATATTTTCCCCAGTGGAGAGAGGGAGGGAAGGAAAAATGAAATGTATGGCACAATGTTCTCATGCATAAAGTCAATAACCGTAGGAAAAAAAATACTCACCAATCTATTTTCATCAAACACTTCAAACAGCAATCTATGATTAGATGGATTTACCTATAAGGGAACAAACAGAGAAGACTATAAATCCAAACTCATTTGGCTCTTTCTTTCACCCATGAGACTTGTTTTAAAAATGGAATTTATTTTCTCAAAGAGTTCCAAATTGGACCTTCCCCCCCTTGGGTCATATTCCTTACTAAGCCCAGTCCCATCAAGTGGCAATATTTAGCTGACTTTGGTCAATCGCAAAAAGCTGAACAAGGTTATATTTGATCGGGATTGGTTAGGATGAGACAAACCAGGATATCCCAAGGCTGTAAGCAAATGGAGGTTGAAAAAAATTCTCAAAAGATGTCAGTAGCTAAACACTTCTTGTTTCCCCCTCCTGCAAGCAAGAGGTAAGGCCAGACAAGGTGGCAAATAAGATCTGCAGACTGAAACCTGGCGAGATAAAAGCAGGGCTGAAAAAAGGAACGGTGTGAAACAGAAGTTATATATCTACTCAACAAATCTTTATGCAGCTGCACAGGTTGTCCGGCTTGTCATTTTAAAATTACTTTTCTCTAGGAATTCATGGACATTGAATTCAGAGGTAAGTACTTATTGTCCATAATAATTTACTCCAGTGACTGAACTTCACACAAATTATCTGATCTCTGTGAGAATCAAGGAGCTTCTGAGGAATTTCATGTTCTCTTGTGTGTGCATGATGAATGTCATGAAAACTAGAAACTGCCAATTCTCTCTCCCAGTCATGGTCAGGTCAGGGGAAAAATGGAGATACTTGGATAATACTGGTCGACCAACTAGGCCTATGCATTGAAAATGAATGAAACCTGACTTAAACAAATGCAAAATGAGGCAGCAGTATCCATAACATGCCAAGAGATATATAACCAAAGTAGACTGTAACATTACTCTAAATCAGTGGTTCTCAACCTGTGGGTCGGGACCCCATTTGGGGTCGAATGACCATTTCATGGGGGTCGCCAAACAACGCAGTCCACCATTTTTTCCCCCTTTTCCTTAGCTGTGCTACTCCCTTTTATTCTATTGGCTTTTGAAAGCCAATAGAATAGACTCTCTTGAATAGAGTCTAATTCTATTGCTTTCAAAAGCCAATAGGAATTGTCCAGGCTGTCTCTGCCCTGCTGAGCCCACCAAAAGTCCCATTCTGCAAACGGTGCTGCACCAGTTGAGTAGTCCTCCACTTAACGACTGGTTGAGTAGTCCTCGACTTACGACCGGTTGGGGGTCGCGGCATTAAAAAGGTTGAGAACCACTGCTCTAAATACAAAAAAGCAGAAATTCCAAGCCAAGTAAACAAACGCTGCTCAACTTCTACAGTCTGAGTATTATCTGTTCTTAGGATCTTCAATACACTGGACTATACTCCAGCACCAGACAGGTTGCATAAATAACTACACGGGATGTAAGAATATAAGAACATAACCGTTCGCCTCCTTTCTCGACTAAACCCCCCAGATGTTATGACCTTTTCTGATGGGGAAGACGATCCAGCCCCTTGATCTTGCTTGCCCTCTTCTGAACTTTCTCTAGTTGGTTATCTAACCTTTTGAGGTGACAAAAATTGCATATAATATTCCAGATGAGATTGTACTATTGATTTATGTAATATTTATAATATATTATATAATATACATGTATTTATTTATTATATATTTATAATATTGCCACTTCTGTTTTCAGTACTGTTCCTTATTATATTATCCCTAAATGCCATTGGCTTTTTTTTTTTTTTTTTTACAGTGGGCACACATTGTTTTGTCACCCTGGATAACCTGTTTACCCTTACTCCAAGATCTCTTTCCTTATTAGTAACTGTTAGTTTTGATCCTATTAGAATGGATAAATAGTCAGGATTTTTGTTCCAATGCACATCAATGACATCAACCATTTTGATGACTATTCCTCTAATGTCATTGATCCCTTTGGAACTGTTCACAGCCCTTTGTTGTTTTTACCATCCTGAACAATTTAGTAACCTCAGCAAACTTGACTATTTCACTAGTTGCACCTGGTCTCAGATCATTTCTACATATGTTAAAAGGCACTGGTCCTAGGACAGGACCCTGGAGGATTCCATTAGTTATATCATTGTGAAAAATGTCCATTGACTCCTACTCTTGGTTTTCTACTCTTCAAGCAGTTGCTTACTCACAAGAGGACCTGCTGTGTTATTTCATGGCAGTTAAACTTACGGAGAAGTCTTTGATGAGGAAATTAATCAAAGGCTTTTTGAATGTCTGCTGGCTTGCCCTTATCTACTTATTTATTATCAACCTCAAAAAAATCTTTTGTAGATTACTTAGACAGGACCTTCCCTTAGTGAAATCTTGTTGGGTATCTTTGGATTAGGCTTGTGTCTATAAAGGTTTGATATTTTTTCTTTAATTGTGGTTTCCACTATCTTCCCCAGAACAGATATTAAGCTGACAGGCCTATAATTTTCTGCATCTCCTCATGCGTCCTAAAAATTGGAGTTCCACTGACCAATTTCTAGTTTTCAATTATAGAGGACAAGTATAGAGACAGACTTCGTATTTCAGTTTGGAGGTCTACAATTTCAGCTTTAAATTCCTCAGTAACCTTGCAAGTAGCTATTGCAGTATGGCAATTTCTCACTTTGTCAATAAGGCCTAACACTTCTTCTCTTGTCACCACTATATGGTTCAATTCATCTGATTCCCTTCTTGAGAGCAGGAACTCAGATTTAGGGATCGACCTCAATTTTTCTCCAGTGCAGATAGAGGTAAAAAATTGTTTGGCTACTCTGTAATTTACCTTTCTAGCATATCACTCGTTCTTCATCCAAGGGACCAATGAAGTTGGCTTATTTGAAGAAGCTTCACAGATTTGGCAATATGCCCCTCAAAATTTCTTTTCGATTCCCTCATTGTCTCTATGTCTTTTGCCAG